AATTAAAATATTATTAATAATATAAAACTTATATTTTCAAGTGTTTTTATAAGTATTTTTCTCAGTAAAACTTGTGTCTTAATTATAAATCTTTAACAAAAACTAATTTTCAATTTCCATTATCATTTCTTAATAAACTTAGAATTCAACATTTTTAATATCTATTAAATCTACTTCAAATACAACAAATTGGATTCATTTCAGTTCCCCTTACAGTTCTTTAAAAATATCGTGTTTTATTACAAATATCAGGGAAATTTGCTCACGCTGTCTCCTAGTGGAAAATAATGCTTTGACGCTTGTCAAGAAGCCAGTTAGTTTTCGTATTTTTTTTTTTTTTTTTTTTTTTATTAGATTGAAAAAAACGTTTTTTACACATTGACATATAACTGCTATTTCATGTTTAGCACCATTTTAAGAACTGTATCTCAAATACAATTATTACAATCACGATAAAAAATTTCGTCAAAATTATACTATGTACCAGAAACCATGAGACTTGGTGTACATTTTTGTCATATGGTAACCATTTTATTATAGGCAAAATTTCTTCATGTTATATACAGTTAGACAGGCCAGCAAGACTAGCTGCACCTAGAATGGATCTCAGAATATATACACATACACCGTGCATACAAGAGTTCTTATACGACCTCTAAACTAGCAACCGTTGGTCCTAGACATATTGATGCAAATATTCATGATTTGGCTTTTTTAAATTAAAAAAAAAATTTTGTAAAAACTACAAAACTTAAACTTTTATAGGTTACAATTATCCTAATCGAAATTTATACCTCTGAGAACACAAAAAGTTTGACTTCAAAAAGTTAAGTTAAGACAAAACAAAAGGTTAAGAAAAAACTTGACCGAGGTACTTAATTTCGAAATATGCGATTTTTGACGACATATTCAAGTTGCATTGAGGGGTCGATTAGAGTAATTCCAAATTCATTTTTTCACCTTAAATGTTTTTCAATTATATTTTTATGATTTATTAATGCCTTTAATTTTTAATATATTACATTTGCTATGCCGAAAAATGCTATATGTAATATATTATCAATTAAACACACTAATAAATAAAATAATTTATAGGTAATAAATAATAATTTAGGGCTCTCAAAATCTGAAAATGCGTTACTAATATCCTTATGAAGTTTTATTTCTTTAGAATCATAATATGATTATAGTATTAAAACTCATTAAACTACGTATATTTTAAATTTTTAAAAACTGCAAATAATATTACGGTTTGAAGGCTGCGAGAGTTTTCTAGAACATAAATTCTGTAGGATTCTATGAATCAGACTTCCATTTTGAAAACAATAGCATTGATTAAGGGGTGTTGGAACCCCAAAATCTTCAAAAAAATCGTGATTTCGGATTTTTGCATTTTCAAATTCTCTATACTTTCATCTTTCTAAAAATACCATTCTTTAATCTCTATGAAAATTAGAACTGTAAAAAAAAATCTAGTTATAATTTGTCATCTACTGCTTTGATCAATGAGGATTTTTACATAAAAATGCGTTTTTATCCAAACGTGATTTTTTATACTCGATGTACCTTTTCTCAGGAACTACTGCTCGCAGGTATCTAAACTTTTTATGGCTTATTTATTAGGTTCCCTAATATTTACTGAAATGAGCGTTTTGTAATAAACTTAGGAAAAAAAATTTAATTTTTTGTGTGAGAAAAGTGCTAAATTTTACTATGTCTAACAAAATATTCTGTAATTTACTCTAAAATTCAAAATGTTTCAAAAGCTCATTTCAGTATAATCAGATAGGTATACTTTAATTACAGAAAAAATTTCAAGCTTGTATCTACAGCAGATTTTGAGAAAAGGTTCATCGAAAATGGCCAACTTAACATTGTCGGTATAGGTGTTTCTGATACCCCTTAATATTTTTCATAATAATTTGCATTGAAATGCTTGTTACCTAATCTCTTAACATCAGAAACCTTTCTCTTGGCTCCTATTTTCATTTTATATACACAGAAATGCGCACATTTCGCTCTTCAATTTGTATGCGACCCTAAGTATGATACTGGCAGATAGCCTTCGTGTGCTTTGTTATAATCACACGGACCAGCCTAAATACGATCACCGATTTTAATACGAAAAAATATCGCTGTCGTACGGGAGTCATGATTTTGTCTTCATTTTTATAACGTTTATATTTTAAGTTATGTGAATAAAGTCAACACTTTCCTAAATATAAGTACAAAAATTTATATTTCATAGCTATTCTAAATCTAACCAATTAAATTTAAAAATACCAAAACACGTAACGCTTAAAACATAATTTAAAACATTTTCTTAATTGGAAGTATATGTCTCCCAGTTGCTAAACTAAAGGACTGGTAAGGATTTCTTGGACACGGTGTATATGAATATACGTTTTTAGCTGGTAGCCTTTTCACTTAGCAAAGGTAAAATAATGACTTCGATTTCTTAGAGAAAATACCCTTTTATTTAAAATACCTGGCTTACTAATAAAAATAAATTTCACATCCAGCTGCTTAGCGTAGATTATTTAGAGTGCATAACGCATACTAAACACATATTAAAACCATAAAATTATGTAATTAAAAATATCATTTATATTCATGCAATGAGAAAAAGGAATCCTTTAGGTACTTGAGAGACAGAATATATTTTACCATACATTTTACCTCTATGAACTGTTCTAAGAAAAGCGCGTAGTATAATTTTATTTTTCGACAGAAATCTATTTAAAATACTAATTACATTTTATGCAGAAATATAAGTAAAAATGCGGTATGCGATCTACCGGTTTTAATCAGTTATTTATGGGCGATTATATGTAAAACTGGAAGGAATTTAAATTAAATGGAATTAAAAATTTACTAGTTTTTAAAATGTATTAACACAATCATTTTCATTAATGTATTATAAATTATATGTATTTATTTTTATATTTATAAAATAGCATTTTAATGTTCCTATCTAGGGAATAAATAACAAACTAAAGGAGGAAGATCGCATACTACATCATTACCGAGGTATATTTTAACTAACTGTCTTAACTTATATTCCAATAAAATCTTCCTGCATAAAGAGATTAGTTTCTTAAGTGTGTTATGGGAAACTCACTGTGATTTTTATATTTGGTATTACTATAACACTGTTTGAAGAAAACGTAACGCAAACCTCCTTACGAACTTTCGCACATACGAGCAAACGTGTTCTTAAAGATTGAAATTTGTTCACATTCGGAAAGTGTTCGGAGCCTAGTCTTTTGGAACACCAACACCCAAATTCTGAGAGGTTTGCTAAAGTTAAATCTGCTGAGCGTGATGCCATACAGTGTTGTCGTCTTATTTACGGCTAAAGAAAATGAAAAGCTGTTCAAACGCTTATTTTATTCAGGAAAACACTTCAGAAATCACTGTTGTTGTCTCATCTAACATGACAACTCCTCCCACTCCTCATCACAAATGTCCCTTTTCCTTGTGGAATGAGTATTCAGAGGGAAACTCACACAATGACCCTTTACACCTATCTAAAGATCTACTAGCGTCATATTCACCCCAGCCACACATGACTCAAAGACAAAAATACAAGGTACGTATTGAATGGTAAAGTAATTCTTTACTTGCTTCTAATTTTTTATAATGTACTACATTTAAAATTTGAAATGTGATATTTAAATGTTTAAAGATTTTTATTTGTTTATTTGATAGTATTTATAGTTCCTACCTCATGATCATTGTTAGGAGATATATGAGAGAAACTAATAACATTTTACGAACAAATTCATGGTACAAACAATCGTTCAGGACGTAACTCGTTCGTACGGTGGGAAACGTCTGTACACGTAAATGAAGACTACTGATATGCATCATTCCACATTATTTTTTTCTGTTTCTAAGAATAAACGAAAAGGTATTCTAATCTTATTGGTCATTTTTACATTAAATTTCAATTTCGTAATTTCTATAGGCTAATTATCTTTGTGTAGTTGTCACAGCTATGTTTATTAATTTACTGTTAAATAATTAATTTCTTTAAATTTAATTTTTTATTTGAAACAAATAATTCATCTCCACAAAAACCTAGTTTCTTTATCAATTTTCTTCAGCAGGTTGGATGTCTCGAGCTTGAATTTGTTTTACATAAAGTAATGATACATTTTCTTTCCAAATAAGGTTTTTCATACAGAGTAACTTCAAAACAAATTACCCAGTTACCTTAGCTAGTATTTCATCCACAGTAAAAATATCCCTAATTCTTGTGTAGCCATCACGGTGTAAAAATATTCTGCAAAGAATTTAATTATCTCGTAACAGAAAATTTACAACATGACAAAATAGAAGACAGTATAAAATTTCTGCCTTTAAGTTACTTAATGAGAACGCAGAGTAAAAGACTTTATTTACTTGGTCGTAAGTGTACAGATATAAATCATCATCATTAACGTTTCTTCTCACGAACAAACGTATGAGTGTTATATCTCTGTTGTCTGTTTTTCGCCAGCTTCATCAGAAGTTCCGATCACGGAGGTAATAAATGTCTCCAATAACGGGGCACAAAAATCTGGGATACTCCAGGACCATCTGTTACCAGACGCTAACTTTCTTAGTTTGTTATTTGGTTTTTCAGCTTTAATGAATTTGTCAAGGCAGCGGAATGACGCTTGCTGCTGAAAATGTAATTGAATTGTTTTCATAGTGAGTAATTCATAGTTCTCCAGCATGGGTGTCAAATTTTTAATTTAATTTAACAACGAGAGGAGAAAATGTGCGTTTTTGATTAGGTATTTTTCTTTAATCTTGGGTGATGGATTGCTTAGGTTAATTATTAGAGTGTAGAATGGATCGAATGATGCAGGTAAAAATAAACAGAAAATAAATAAACCAAAGATAATTTTCCAGGCAAAAAGTAAAAATACGTAAACATAGCAAACAAAGAGCTGGCAACTGCAAAATTAAAACGTGAGATAATAACAAGTAGTAATTTGTAAAGAACTTACGGTTGAAGCACATTCTTTCAGCTTTCAAAAGGTAGAGAATAACGAGAGTTATAATAAGTAACAATACGATGCATCCAACGACGATTCCGATGACAACAGACATTGCTACGGGTTCTGAAAACGTAAAATAAAAGTATTAATAAGAATATTTTAGACAAATAAAGGATCTAATCATTGGAAAAATAATATTAATAAACGTAAGAGAGCAAATGTTTCGGCATGGAGCTTTTAAAACATAAGAAAATAATATACAGAATGTATCTTATACAGGACAGAAACACACTAGTTTAAAATGTTACATTAGCCCCAAAACTACTTTAACTGGCAATGATTTTAAATACTTAAGCACTCATACTTTAGTACTGATTTTGAATGAATTATCAATAGTTTTTTAATTTTATCTACAAATCTAAGTCGATCTAAGGTTTTTTATTTCATTTATTATTTTTATTTTATGATTTAGAATACATTAACAAAGTTGAGTAGTTTACCACAGTAGTAACAATAAAGACCCAGATTACACAGAATAAGAGACTTTCTTATTTTCGCACAGATTTCCTGGCAAACGTCTAAAAAGTATGGACCCGAAAAATCACGAGGTTTTGGGCATCAGTAGATAATGATAAACTGGTGAATCATTCTGATAAGATCTTTCAAAGTACTTGCAGGAACAAATAGTATTCGAATTAAACAGAATTATTTAACTCTCGAAATACGAGCTTATGGAAAAAAATTAGGATCATTAAAGAACCTTATGCAGCTACCACATGATTTCCTTGTACGGCCTAATAAATTATACTTATTTTTCCTGCACTTCATTTAAACGTATTTCCTCGAATTTCATTAGAGATACATTTCTCATTCAATCAATTCAGTTCTCATTTCGCGGCAGCATAAAAATACACAAACATCTTCAATAAAAATTATAAAATTCAAAAACACCAAATATAGTTAAAAACAGCTATTTTTTTAATTGAAATCTGAGTTTTTACAAGAAAACAAAGAATGCGTCCAACAGGCAAAAAGACAAAATTTTCGTGAACAAAAATTTACACTTCCGCTCCCACTGGAGAAAATGACATTTAAATTGGTGCACCAACCGACTTAGTACACTATGCTACTAAGAGTTTCAAATGTAAGCAAATGGGCTTACCGCCACTTCAACTTTTAAACTATTTATAATTCTAGAACTCTTGCGTGCAGATTAACTAAAGGCATACAAAACCTTAACCAGAACATAAAAATAACATAATTTAATCACTCTTAAAACAAAAAATGCCCAGTTTACAACATATAGGAAAAATAGCACAGAGCTCACTGAGGCGGGTAACGGAGTGGGTATATATATACATATCACTAAACGCATAAAGTAAGAAATTAGAACCAATTTTACACAAAGACCAAACATTGAAATTCCTAGGTAATAAATTTCCAAGAATCCTATAAACATATAAAAAGTTTTAATATACACTAATATATATATACTATAATATTATTATATATTTGATGCGGCCGATTGCAACCAAAAAGGGAGGTGCACAACTTCATGTTACACAGAACAAAATTTCAACATTCTGAGGCTACTCGTTTTTGAGTTACGCGAGATACATACATATGGATGTACTTAGGTATATACGTTAAGAAAAAAACCCTTCAAACCTTTCTCCGTACGTACAGTTGTAACGCAAAAAATCGTTCAAATGGATCCGACAGCGATCAAAATGGATATATTCGTTGAAATATGATACCCGACGTTTTTCGCGATTACAATGTTTCCTTTACTTCGTACAAGGAAGTAAAAATAATAAATTGCTGTATCAATTAACATTGATCACTAAAATCGATTTATAAAATGAAAAAAAAAACATGTACGCAAATGTTTTTCATTATTCATTATCCTTCAAAGGTCGTAACAATTGTGCTTTGGAAAACCTATGCGCACAGTGATAACGATGATATAAATTCGTTATAATAGGTTGTGTGAAATAATTTTAAACAGTGGAGAAATAACAAAGAACCGAACTGCACAAGTGTACGCAAAATATATAATTATTTCATGAATCGTTTATTTCCAAGCACTTTTATTTCATGTAAAAATTATTTACGAAAACATGAAAATGTACTCAATAAAATCTTTATTCGTACTTTTCGGAAACCCGTTTCGCAATTATTTCATCATACAAATATTATATAAAAAAGTATTTCTATTTGCAGTTAGAAAAAAAGCAATAAAATGTAGACACTTTTAGTAAAATTAAAGTAACAATAAGTACACCCTCAAAGAAGAAATAAAATTCATTTAATAATTGTACATTAGTTATGCATTAGTAAGTCATTATTATGCGTTGCACAAATGTAGACATAATAACAACTGACTGAATTTTGCTTTTATGTCTTAATGAACAAATAATTACGATATCGAAAAAATTTATTCCTAAGAATAAGTTAGATGAAATATTGCGCTTAACAGATTCAAGTTCTTGATGACTGCTTTCGCATATTAGAATGAAAAATAGAACTCCTAGCAAAATATTCCTTTTTTAGATAACAAAGAAGAAAAAATGTATACAATGCACTACTGATCTTTGCATTATTATTAATATATGGAAACTTAATAATAATCGAATCTTTATTATCTAATTAATTAAATCTCTACATTTGTACATAATAAATTAAACGCAAGTAAGGAAACTTCCTGAATTTAATTAGTGTTATAAATAGAGACTTATGTAATAAGTAAATTAACGAATTGCGAACTTTAATGTTTTCGTATCATTAATAATTCGTCGCTTTGATCTAACGTGATTAATATAATTGCATTGTAACTCAAAAAAGTGTCCTAGATAAATATTAATGCTAATTAAAATTTAAGACGAAGACATTAGCTTAGTTAATTCCTTTAGGGAAGGAAATTTATTCTTCTCATTGTAATAATAAATTTTTGTCAACGTCATATACATATTATTAATAATTATAAGTTGCATAAACTTTCTACTTTTCGAATGTCTTGATTGCTGACGCCGAATTATTTAACTGTTACAGTTATAAACAAATTAGTTCTTATTTTATAACATGAATTTTATAAAATGATTTTAATTAAAATGGAAGTAAACATTAGTTTGTTTTAGGATAGTAAACTAAAGTTTTAAAAACTAATTGTTTGGTCAGTGATAAAATGTTATTATCCTTGAACTAAAGCAGTAATTAGTTATATGCACCTGATGGCAAATATATACATTGCTTAGCAAATATAAAACGAGATACTTCACGAAGAAATTGTTCCTAAAACATAATTTTATAAATTATAATTTATATTATATAGAAGTAGATAAATATTTTAGCTATAAGTTTCAAAAATAAACTATTAGTAAAATGTAGAAAATACTGTTGCGTGCGTACGGGTTCATAATAAATTGAATGCACATGTCCGATGAAAATACAAAAAAAAATGTATTCTTATCACAACAAATAAAAACAAAATGCTTAAATGTCCTCAGAGATAGTCGTACAATATCCCAATATCTCACAGTAGTTATCATCTTTTAACTACTACGTTCAACAGAACTCAATTCAAAATAGAGAAAGCTAATCCGATTTCACTGCGAATTCGCTACAGTCATTAACATCAATAAGTAAACAACTGAATTGAGAAATCGAAATCGAAATCGAGTGAATGGTTAGGCGGCATTTAGTAGCCTCTGCTACTTTAACCGTCTCTGTTAGGAGATATGCCCAAAGGCGTTGGGAAAAAAAGAATTAGTAAATTAAGGGTGATTTACACCGCACCTATAAAGGTGAAGCTGGAACATGTGCTAATGCACGTGAGTTGGATAAGTTGAATAGGGCGAAGGGGTTCAAGCATCTGGTCGTGAGTTCTTCATTGGCCGCCGTACAAGCTGTGATGTTTCTTCACTAATCGAAGAGAAGATGATTCGTCAAGGCCAGTCACGTGCGGTGGTCACCCACCCAAGTACTGACCCCGAAGCTCTTGCTGCTGGAAACAGGGAGACCCTGTGTGTTGGAAAAAGTGAAAAAAATCGTTAAAATAGTGAAATTTCCTCATTTGCTTCTAAGCTGGTGATTACTCTTCATTTTCAGCAAACCTCATCAGTGTCATGGCTGCTTTGAAACACGGCAGTAAACTTCTCAGCCGTGGCTTTTGCAGCGCGAATCTTCTCTAACATGCTCAACTATGCTGTTCAGAAATTTTTTTTTATTTTAGGATCTTGGGATCCAGTTTATGATATGCTTGTACTCTGTGGGTGGGTTTTCCAATTTTTTCTTTACTTTATCGTTGTGAGAGGTTTCATCTGGGTTTTACTGCTGTCTTTCTCTGTTTCGATGAATTTCGAAAAATCTGCCGGCGTAGGGATCTTAGCTGCTGGCTTCGCCTGCTGCTTCTTTGCTTCGTATCGCTTCTTGTACACGGGGCAACCCCTGTATGAACTTACATGAGGTAGTGAGCAGAAGATGCACTTAGGTTTTTCTTCTAACTGAATTGAGATGTTTTCCTCCAGCTTTTATAAGTTTTTTAAATCACACGCGAGACACTTCTCATATTTTCTCGCTTTCTCTGGATATTAAAAGAGTACAATTTCGAGATATCTATTATTAAAATGTTAGATGCGCGTGCTCCTGTATTTAATTTTTCCGTCGTAGATTGCTCTTCAAATAAGTCTCGTGCTGCATTGCACGGGAATATAAAACAATTTTAATTACAAATTCTATTAAAAATAGCTAAACTAAATAAATACAAAAACCGAAACTCTATATTATAAAACTTAAAATTAACCTTTCAGAATTTTGATTTGTACTGAGAACGCTTAAATTTAATTAAATATATTTCCAAAATTAATTTGGCATAAGTTTTAAACATTTTAACTGAAACGGAATATAAAAACAGAAGTAAAAAAATTGGTGTTGCCATTATATGACCTCCTGCAAATTTTAAGATTTAAATAGCAACGAGCGTTAATTAAAATATTACTTCTGATTGATCATTTGGTAAATAAAATCTAATTTGTTGGCAAACTTTATGGCTCATTGTTAATTATAAACACTTCTCAGGTTTTGTTGCCCTGTTCTCATATATAATAGACAATGATAACTATACG